GTTTTGTGTTTAAAACTAAAAATGGTTCAAATAAACATGTGAAGGGAATGATAAAAGAGTTTTAAAAAGTGTGCTTCACAGTTCAGATGCTGCTCTTTAGTCTTTGGGAAAGGCATGCTGAAAGCCATCTGTGTCATGGGCAGGCTGTGTCTTAAGCAGTTGCTCCGTGAGACAGGTGCCACGCTCCCCCGGGACAGAGTAAACTGACTTCAGTAGTGAGCAAACCCCCTCACATTCCACACCACCTTAAAGATTAACTGTGGCCTCTGGCATGCGAATCACTGCCTTCGTACGGTTCAGAGGAACCATGGTAAAAGCTATGAGGAGGGCAATGTAAATGTGTTTACACCTCATTCATCTGATGTGCATGCTGTCTTCAGGTAGCCTGAGAGATGACCTACGTAGACAGCACTCAGCAAGACATGCCAACTATATTAGCAAGATCTCCATATTAGCAAGTTATCAGAGTAACAACTGGTCGGACAAATGAATCAGGTTTAAAATTTCTTAACAAGACGATGAGGGATAGAGCTGCTTTCACTCTAGTTTATGCCCATAACAGAGCCTTTATATTTTTTGCTCAGTTTAGGCAGCTTAAATAAAACCAGTTAGGGAATCAGGCCCGTGCTCCACTGCCAAGCTGTTTAGCTGATAAAAACAAACATTTCTAATTAATATATTTACATTTATTTATTAAGCAGACAAAAAAATAACATTAAGACACAAGCAGAACCCTTATTGACTATTGTCTGATGGTTTAAATCACCGAATTGCCTGGTTTTGTTAACATTGTTATAAAATGTTTGTTTTTACACTTCAACATTTTGAGAGAGAGAAAAAAATGTATAATTATAGATTTCTAGGGCTGTCAAAATTAACTGTAAAGCTGCTCTGGAATGATGTCTATTGTGAGAAGTGCTAAATAAATTCGAGTTGAACTGGAAATGTTTCTCTTCCTGTTTATACACTGTGGCAGGAGGAGCAACGACAGACACAGTGAGTATCAAGCCTCGAAGAGGCTTTTATTTAACATGAATAAAAATAAAAGTCCAAAACAGGTGAAAAGGTGGCCAAAAGAATTGGGGATAACAAATAACAACTGCTGTTTATTTGGACACTTTATTTCCATGTTTTGGACTTTTGTGTTTTATTTTTGTTAAATAAAAGCCTCTCTGAGGAAAACCGTTAAACATTTTTGTTGAAATAAACTAAAATTAAAATGAAACCAGAAAATATAAAAATAAAACCTAATTCAAAATATTAATAAAATTCCTAATAGTATATATGACATAATAATAGTAATATAAAAGCCAATCATTTAATATGCATATTACACTTTTTTTCACACAGCATAAATTGGTCTTTATACAAGAATATATTGCATCCTTTATATTTTCAGACGGGGTACCTCACAAGGAGATCATCATATTAGGGGCTTTTCACATGCGAAAAAAACCCTTAAAACCCCAGGTGTAGTTAATTTCAAAGAAACAACAAAGAAACACTGCCTTTTTTGCCAATTTTTAATATTATTCATTTACAAGGCCTCCATGATTTAAACTGCGTAAAATAAAAACATCATCAAGGTGGACAAAAAGAACCAGTTCATTTTGCTACATCAGTCATGTTGGTGATCGTCACCACATCAGTATGAAGTAGCCTGGGGACGCTTAATGCATTACTGGAATGAGGCAGGGATTGCTGCGATATCCCAAAGTGCGACCGCTTGTCTGCATTGGTTTAGATAAAGCCACGTGGCGGAGAGATAGCCGAGCAAAGGTATGCTGTGACAGGGCATAAATAGAAAACCAGCTAAAGATGCTGGTATCCCCAGCTAGGGCCAAAGGCCATGACTTAACCCACCGAAAGACAGTCTATTGTCTGAAGCCACAGGGGTAGGAGCAGAGTCTCTTAACCCCCCACTTGCTAAAAGACTAATTGACTCATACATTCATTGCCTGTGTGTGTGTTTGTGTTGGGCTCTGCTCAAGGTATTGAGTGAGATTACTGAAGAGCTGAGGTATTAACTCGTGTCTCCTCAATATGCTTTCCCGTCTCCCATCGGATGGATGGATGACTCGCGACAGAGACAGCACAAGTGCTGAAAGGTTTTGCGGATGCTTAGCTGACATCCAAGTGTTGAACTCAATGGAGTGGCTGCTGCTAACTGGCACCAGTGAATTCTCCTTTAAAGGGCGTCGGTGGACACCGGCACTATATTATTTGAAACACTGACATGTTTTACTAATTTTCCTATTACCACTTGCAAGGCTGGGTGTTTATTTGAATTATCAGGACTTATATGACAAATTAGGTATGTATGTGTGGTGGTCTACCCCCTTAAAAGTGTGTGTGCGCCTGTAAATCTCAGCCTCCCTCCACTTCAGTCTCTAAGCTTGCTGGCATTTGGTGCACAATGATCTAAAACAACTGTGACCCAACTGCAGTTGCAACTTTGATTCCAGGAATCCCTGTTTCAGTCGGGATGATCTGACTTAACTCTACTGTTTCGCAACAACTGATAAATATGCAGATAAATATATGCATGCATAAAAGTCTGGCTCGTTTCTGAGATTGTGTTGCTGAATTACTGTGGTTATTTCACAGCTATTTTAATCTTCCTAAATGTTGCGTATCTATAATAGGATTTAAAATGTTACAGCAGGCACCCTCCAATTTCATTATCTCTCACGTTTTATCTGTCTGTCAACGTTTTTTTATGCACAGTCCTGCAAGTGAGGCTGTACATAACCCAGCTGCCACACTTATGAAGCGTCCCAGAATAGCCCTCAACTGGCCTGCTATATCTAACCAAAGTGCAAGAAAGTTGCCGTCATCAATGTAACACTCCATGCTTTGCCAAAAGATAGCTGCATGCAGTCCCATCAACGACAATCATTTGTAGTAATTCCACTAAAATGCTATGAGATTTGATAATAATAGCAGTAACAGGTTTCAAGGTTCTCCATAATGCTGTCTGCATCCTGTAAATGTGTCATTTTGTTGAGAGATTTCTTGCTCAAACAATGAGCAGAGCAACAGTGCTCTGTCTTTAACAATAGGTCTTGTCAATTGCTCTTAGTCAGGAATGTCAGCCTTTGGCATGAGGCAGGGATGGAGTATTCATGTCTATATTGGGACACTATGAGCCCCTCCCCTTTTGGTCCACACTCTTTACTCCTTTTCCACATACAAGGACACTGATCTCAAGGTTAGATCCACTGGGGCCGGTGTGTAAAAAGAGGCACTCAGCTCCAAGACGCTCAATTACTGCACTGACACCATAGTGGAAAAGTAGCAGCGGCTGCCTGCATAATAAGCTGAATTTAGGCCTGTTATTTTAGCACGTTGTCTGGAAAGTTCTGCACCACACCTGCCATTTCGTGTATCAAAAATAAGTGTTGGCAGTGAAGTGGCATGGATGTGTGAATTAATTATTATATGAGAAGGTATGAAGCCACATGCAGAAGCTACCTTAAAAAAATACCTCAGACTGATCCAATGCTTAAAAATTAGCGTAATTAGCTTAATGTAGCCTTGTTGACTGAATCATATTAAATTATATTTTTCATAAATATAATATTATATATATATATAGAGTTATTGTATTGATTTCACTACTAGTCAATCAGAAAATTGTGCTAGCTTCTATGGTGGAAAGAAAATCCATCTCAATTATGTTGCTATTATCATTAAGGGCAGTGCATCTTGGCTTATTTTGGCACGTATTTTTAGCATCCCATATCATGTCAAGCACAAGGGACCCTTTACTTTAGTCTAGGATTGCATTTACTGTGGCCACACACATACAATGCTTCCCTCCACTGGCGTTTACAACAAAGGATTCCACAAACAAGCAATTAGAGTAAGGGAGAAGACTGAACATATGGCCATTATGTTCACCTAATACTTGTCCTGCATGTCAAGGAGAGAATTGTTGACGAGTTATTGAAGAGATGTTAAAGAGCCAATGGTAAGGGTGTTGCTTGTTGCCGCTGAGTGGAGCTCTGTAACCTTTATCCAAGCAGGGACCAGGGGGAATTTACAGTGACCACAGCCACTCAGATGATTGTTGGTGTTGAAAACAAAATATAGTCTAACTCTGAAAAAAATAATGAACTGAGAAAACTTTAAGGAGAAACATGTTCATTCTTAATTATTACTGCCTTCATTAAAAACTTAGGTGTTAAGTTGATGCATAATTGTGCACGTTTGTTATGGTTACAGCAGTTACAGAGCTTAATTCCACTTATACAAATCATCTAAAAACATAATTTTTAATGATGTTATATTTGTTTTTACTGCTGTTACTGTTTTTAATTGTTGAAAAGCAGAAAAAAATAATGATTTAAAGTCAGTCCTGTAGCTAAATTGATTGAAAATTTAAAAGTAACTATTTTTTTTGTATTAAAAAGAAAAGACTATCGATCAGTTTCTTATCAGTGCCCTCCACTTAGCCTGCATAACTTAAAGTTGCTATAAAAATAACTAAGCTTGGGTTTGGGTAAAGATAAAAATGTGGCTTGCCCTTTTGTGTCAGTTTGGGGACACAGTGAGCACCAATAGGCGCTGGAGGAGGTGACACATGATAATTTCTGTGACTGTGACCTTGGAGGAGATGATAAAAGGAGTTTGGCCACTCCACCCATTCAGTCCGTGTTAAGGTCAGTTAGCACATTATGACTGGATACCTTAACTCATTTCATTTACTTGACCATTTGTTTATAATACTACAATAATGACATAAATCATAAAATGCCATCAAATTAGTATCTTAAAACTAAAATCTTATTTTCTGTCAATAATGAACTGCTTTGTTTTATATAATATACCTCGTGGAATATATATTTAATTTCTACATTGTAATAGTAATTATTCCTGCAATGTTTACAAGGTTATTTGTACTGATTTTTTGTCAACATAATATTATATTTTTTGTTTCTTTTTAATGATTTCATTTTAAGTGTAAACTAAAATATTTGTCTTCTTTTAAGGTACCTGGAAAGTTTTACCTTCAGTAAGTAAGGGAGCGGTGGACATCATGTCGAGACTGTTGGATATGAAGGAGTTTGGAGAAGCGGCTCCGTTTCTGCGCAAATCCGACCTGGAGCTGCTGGCAGCGCAAACTGTTGCGTTTGATGGTACTTGAAATACATTTTCAAGTGACTTCAACAAATGTTTTACGGCGGATACAAACACTTCAGTTCTCTTTGAAATACTTGCCATCTCGTTTACGCGGCGTCTTTTAGGTGTTCATAATTGCACGTTAGGTTCTTAACTTGTTAATGCTGATAAATTTAGCATAGATAAATTTGGCATTGAATGATTGGATTTATAACAATCAAACCAACGAAAAACTTTGTCGGAGACTGGATAATGATCAGTGACAGCCTCCCTTGTGCGCAGGAAAGAAACGCGCTTGGATACCAGATGAAAAGGACGAGTACATTGATGTGGAAATGAGGGAGATTGATGGTGACAAAGTCATCGTTGAGACCAAGGACGGGAAGGTAAGGCATTTGAGTTAAATTTAATTTATCATGTCAAAACAATTGACATCCGAATTTAATAATTAGTGGATGTGCCAAAACGGACTTTTGCTTCATTATTAATAGTGTTTCTGATTGGATTAGATCACAGTTAATGAAATTAAACTGTAATAATGATTACCACGATTGTGGTAATACATAAATATACCGACATGAAATATTGTTTTGAGTTTATACTATTTTACATGTAGATTAGCCTACTTTAACGTTTTTAAATAAGAAAAATAGCTCATTACAATGTAAAAGACGAAGACATTTAATTACAGGCCTTTAGTAGTAGCAGTATTAGGCTAATATTAATCTGCAATCCAAGTTGGACTAGTTGGACGATGGACTAGTTAACTATCATGTTGGTCTGCAATGTAGCCTAACTTGTCTTTCTCTAGGCCTATTTTAAGTTTTCATCATCCACTCTGTATCTTACCGGTTCGATGTTATTCTGATCAACGTTTTGGTTTTCTTCTAAGCTTCTAGCCATTTATTAACTTTTACCATGTTTACTGATATATTAAAAATAATAACTTCCACTGAGGCTATTTGTCATTTCAAGCGGTAGTAGTAACCGTTTTACTAACTATTTTTACGTGCGCTAGAATGAAAAGACAGGGACGGCGGAGTGGTATGAAAGTAGCGCCAGTTTGTTGACATGAACTGGTGATCCAGTTTAGCGGTCATTTAAAAATAAAAACATATTTGACAGCTCAGTGTGCGATTGACCAATCAGAACCAAATATTGCTTTTAATAATGGATCTTTTTTTCTGTCCCATGTTATCTGTAACCCTGCTTATTGCCTCTAAATCCTGCAGTGCTTAACTGTGAAGGAGGATGACATTCAACAGATGAACCCTCCCAAGTTTGACATGATAGAGGACATGGCCATGCTCACACACCTGAATGAAGCTTCAGTGCTCTATAATCTGCGGAGGCGCTACAGCAATTGGATGATCTATGTTGGTACCATCACATCACAGCTCAAAGCAAAGAAATGATCTGCCCTTTCTCACTAATCTTTGATGCCACAAATAACCTGACCAGAGCATTAAACATAGAGGGGCGGCACTATTCATAGGACTTTATGGTCACAGTAATGAATTTAACACTTGCCTTTGCCAAAGGACAAATACAAGTGAATTCCCTAGAGGCATGACCTTTATAAGTGCCACAGTCAAAAGTAGCCTACCTCATAAAGTCATCTCTGGGAAGTTATGTTTTCCTGAAGAGCTTTTAAACAGATCCTGTACATGGGAAAACTAAAATTTGGAAGTCCATATATATAAAAGAAAAGTTAATAGTAAAATTGGCATTTGAAATAGTCTCATTAGGAGATATAATAGCACACTCTTATGGCAGTGTGTAACTATTTTACGTTTTGGGCGAATTGGTGGATAATTCATATACATTTTTACAATCTCACACATATGTTTTTGTACAGTCTGCTTACAGCCCACTGATGGGTATGTTTGGTTTTCTTTTTTCTAAAAATCTTACACTTTTGGACAAATCAAATTGTATGAATTCATGCAAAATGCCACCTCATTAAAATAGTTATGTTTTCTCATGAGATCGGGATAAATATAAAAGTCACATGATGAGAAATAAAGTTACCTTTTTTTTTTCTCCTTTGAATAAGGTTGAAGACCTCTGGCCTAAAGAATTGTGCCATTTATCCTGACTATATACCATACCTGAGATTAATCTTGTCAAATCTTCTCACGGCAGACGTATTCTGGACTCTTCTGTGTGACCGTGAACCCATATAAATGGCTTCCCGTCTACACGGCCCCTGTAGTGGCTGCCTACAAAGGCAAACGCCGCTCCGAGGCTCCACCTCACATCTATTCCATCGCTGACAATGCCTACAATGACATGTTGCGCAGTAAGTATTAAATTAAAGAATTGCTTGTCTCTTCCCTGCCCTCTACAATAACTTCCAGGAGGGATCATTTCACACTTTAGCCATTTCAGAAAGGCCCTTTATGACCTGAAACAAATATGTTATTGTTAACCCCCCACAGATCGTGAGAATCAGTCCATGCTAATCACGTAAGTTTGGACATACCTGTGCACATTCTGTATTTTTGTGATGAGAGAGAGACATTTTCAGTGTAGGGAAAAAAAATTCGGCCACTGAGAATATAATTTTTTTTAGATTACACGTCCAACTTTTGATTTTTGTTTTAATAGAACATTTTGTTGCACTGTTTTTTCTAATGTTCTTTGCTGTGGTGCTTTTCTTTCTTTTTTGTTTTTCAAATGTCTTATCATTCAATCATTTCTTGATACTCATAGCGGAGAATCTGGTGCTGGCAAAACCGTAAACACGAAACGTGTAATTCAGTATTTTGCCATAGTAGCGGCTCTGGGTGAGGCACCGACTAAAAAAGGAGTAAGACACAAGCTCTCTCGGTTTCCCTCAAATCATCTCCCTCTTCTTTTTCAATCAGCTTTTTTTACCTCTCATGCTGGCAAGTGTTCGTCATTTTCATTTTGAAGTCGCTCCTCATCTAGGTGTCTGGCACATTTTTACAGTGACAGTACTACTATGTATTTTAACTTGTTTTTCTGTTATGGACAAGTTAACTGTTATGGACATCTAGACTGAGGTTTGACTATCCCTTCCATTTGCATATATCTTTTTGCTAATTTTCCCAAATGTTTCTTTGGGGTGAACCTGACTCCATGTGTCTTCTATAGCTTAACCCCAGCACATCATCTCCTGCATTTTTCTTCCTTGTTCTTGAAGTTTTTCTGTGAAACAAATTTGTGATTAACAATTAAACTTCCTTTTTTTTGTTTCAAGCAGGCCCAAACTCTTTCAGTTTCCATGATTTCAGTTTTTTGTCGCCATTGTTAAATCCATTATTCATGGAATTTTTTTTCTCTGATTATCATAGGGTGTGACTGTTAAATACTTTGTTGTATTTGATGTGAGCTAACAAAATTTTACCCCATTTTTTTCATTCTTAATCCATGTTCGTCTATGAATTAGCATTTTCAGTTATAATACAAATGATTTTTAATCAATATTTTAATGACACTGATTATTGACTAGCATAATATAATACTTTTTAAAATTTGTAATAAAAAATGGGTCATTTAAAATGTTACGTGCATTATATTGCATTCACATTAAGTAATCAGGCTGTTAAATATAGAATTAAATAATAACAATAGAATATAATATTAGCAGAAGCTGAGGAATATGTACTCTTTTATGAAACAACAATCTTTATTTGTTGTTGTTTTATGTTTTAAGGCCCCTGCCACTAAAACAGGGGTGAGTATATCTTCACACGAGGAGACATACTGCATAAACTGCAACAAATAAAGCTCAAAAACTCATCAATTATAAAATTACTTTTCTCAGGGGACTTTAGAGGACCAGATTATTGAAGCTAATCCTGCAATGGAGACTTTTGGAAATGCCAAGACATTGAGGAATGACAACTCATCCCGTTTTGTGAGTATTTGACACTATATAGACCAGCGTTGTAGTTTTTGAGTCTATTCCTCTTACATACACGTAAAGACCTGTTACCATGCTGTAAAATTTTAATTACTTCATGGCATAATTGCTATCAACCATGGTGTATTTCCTTAAATCCCTCTATAGGGTAAATTCATCAGGATCCATTTTGGACCAACAGGGAAACTGGCTTCTGCTGACATTGATATATGTAAGTAAATGGTTCAAAGAATGATGACGGCTTTCCAGTTCATGTCATTCCAAAATGTAAAACCTGACAGTGCAGAGATTTTAAAAATTATTTCTATAGATCTTCTGGAAAAATCCAGAGTGATATTTCAGCAACCTGGAGAGCGAAGTTACCACATCTACTACCAGATCATGTCACAAAAGAAGCCTGAACTTCTTGGTATGATAAATGCTACAATTACAAATCCAACAATATTGCCCTATTAGTAATAAAAAAAATCATAATTCTTTCTGTGGATTTCAGACATGCTCCTGGTCTCTTCAAACCCCTACGACTACCATTTTTGCTCCCAAGGAGTGACAACGGTGGAGAATATGGATGACGGGCAGGAGCTTATGGCTACTGATGTAAGCTGTAAAATCTCTCATCACCTACAGAGACCAGATGAAAAAAAGAATTACCTCCAAAATCATTTTTTCTCCCCTCCAGCATGCCATGGATATCCTTGGCAAGATCAAATACAGTAACAATTCAAAAATTAACAACTTCTGAGTTGTTTTCTCTTTGTTAGCCCTTAGGAATTATGTCCATCCTTGAAGAGGAGTGCATGTTCCCTAAAGCTACCAACAATAGCTTCAAGGCTAAGCTGTTTGACAATCACCTTGGCAAGACTGCAAATTTCCAAAAGCCAAGGCCTGACAAGAAGAGAAAGTATGAGGCTCATTTTGAGCTAGTGCACTATGCAGGAGTGGTGAGTTTGAACCAATAATATCAATAAGACTAAATTTAAAGGTCACTTAGGTAGCACTTGATATTACAACTATTTATGATGCACTTTAGATTATTCTTGGTGCTATTCTACTGAAAAACAACTTAAGCCAGCCAGTTTTAGCTGGTTTAAGCTGGTCTTCCAGTCTAGCAAGCTTAAAAGTGCCATCTCAAACCATGAAAACAGATCAGCCAGGCTGGGCTGGGGAACCAGTTTACCACCTTAGGTTGGTTTAAGCGGTTTTAATGTAGATATTGAATATTTTTATTTGAATTTCAGGTGCCATATAATATTATTGGTTGGTTAGACAAAAACAAAGACCCCCTGAATGAAACGGTGGTAGCTTGTTTCCAGAAATCAGCCAGCAAGCTTCTGGCTAGTCTGTATGAGAATTATGTTAGCTCTGACTCAGGTAAATATACCACACAGTCTGCCTAAAATATGCCACAATTCTCTTCAAAACCATAAAATACTTCTAAATACAACTTTTTCCTTTTAGCCTCTGACACAAAAACAGGCATCAAGGAAAAGAGGAAAAAGGCTGCTTCCTTCCAGACAGTGTCACAGCTACACAAGGTAGGAATTTAACCAAACTTTTCTGCTACTTAGTTAGTAACAGCAGAAACTGGTATCAAACAGAAATAATTATTCATGGTCATTAAAACAAAACTCTTCAGTACTGAGAGGGAGGCAGTTAAGACTTGCAGTGATGTTTAGAGAAATGACACATGAACATCACTTTAAGTCTGTGCTGGCTCCTGTTCTATCTGTGTTCACAAAGAGCATCAACAACTCAGGGTAAGTCTAGAAACACACCTGGCAATCTTTTGGAGAAGAACACTTTTGCATATGTTATGACTGAAGACATTTGCTTTGTGCATTGTAAATGTAAAGAACTGCTGTACAGCAGGAGTTTATGGCCATTTTGTCTCTTGATTGTGTGCTTGATTGTTTCTCCTCCAACTGCAGGAGAATCTCAACAAGTTGATGACAAACTTGCGGAGCACTCAACCCCATTTTGTACGCTGCATCATCCCCAATGAGACCAAAACACCAGGTGCTGTAACCACTGAACACTTCAACACATCTAAACCAACAGGATTATGATGAAATGTCTAACTTAAACATTTTCATCTATTTGCAGGAATCATGGACGCTTTCCAGGTGCTGCACCAGTTGCGCTGTAACGGAGTCCTGGAGGGCATTCGCATTTGCAGGAAGGGATTTCCTAACAGAATTCTTTATGCCGATTTCAAACAGCGGTGAGAAGAGCTACCGTTGTTGACACACCCTGTGTTCTCATTGAGAACATGAAAAATGAACTACAATAAAATCTTGGCACTTCTTTACTTTTAGTATAATTCCCAGGTGTGAACATGTTTTGATCATGTAATGATTTGCGGTTCACTAAAAAAATTGAGACTGAATTTTAAAGGCATCAACATGGTTAAAGGTGAACTGTGTTATTTCTGGGGTGCTAGTGCAAAAATAATAATTGTTTCCAAAAAGGTTTCCCAAATTTTCTCACCACCATTGGTGGGGCCAGAATTAGGATAACTGTTTAAACAAATTATTTCAGTTTGATTATTTGATTACATCTTTTTCTGAAATATTCTGAAAACAGAGCCACATGTGTCTACATCTTTTATGGGAATTAACATATGAATGACTGACTTACAGCAGTTTCGTCAAAATAAACATTTGAAGTATTTTAACATAATACAATTGCTTACTTCACCTTCAACCTTCAGTGGCTTGTGAGAAGTCAGCCAGTTGATAAATAGTACAAATTTCTGTACATTAGTTAAACCCGGAAGAACAGTGAACATGTTTGCAATACAGCTTAGATGATAAGAATAAAAACAGTGAATAAGAATAAACTATGAAGATGTGTATATTCCTCCTTTTCAAAGGTATCGCATTCTGAATCCTCATGCTATCCCTGATGACAAGTTTGTGGACAGCAGGAAGGCTGCAGAGAAACTTCTGGCTTCACTGGATATCGACCATAATCAGTATAGATTTGGACATACTAAGGCAAGTCAGACTTCAGACAGTAAAAGTGTTTGTTGCTTTGAGCCTCAAGCAATGGGACATCAATCACAGGTTTAACTCTGTACACAAGACAAAATGGGCTAAATCAACCCATCTGTGTCTCTGCATTACAGGTGTTCTTTAAAGCTGGCCTGCTGGGACACCTGGAGGAGATGAGGGACGAGCGTCTGGCTAAAGTTCTCACTCTATTGCAAGCCGCCAGCCGTGGCAAGATCATGAGGATGGAGCTGAAGAAGATGATGGAGAGGAAGTAATACATGATTCTATGCAAAAAATGTTTCTAAGATTAAAATACAGTGGCCCCTAAACATATTTGGACATTTAAGTCAAACATAAAAATCACTGAAAGTAACTGCATTAGATAACAACTTTTCCAACCATGTTCCACTCATTTTAAAGAACGATATAAAAAAAGTATTTTAGTTAGTGGAGTTAATGGAATAAAGTAAGTGCAATATCCACAAAAAAAATCACTTTGATACTTAAGTGTGGTTTAAGTGGCAAAATACATTTTGGGACCACTATATATAGATTTAGAGATTTTTCTGAATATAAAATATGAAGTAAAATATGAAGATACATATTCAGCCTTAAGGTACAGTAACAGCAAAATTTCACGGGCAAAAAAGGACTGAAGCACATCTCACACAGACACCACTTTCAAACCAAGCATCTTTCTGTTGGTCAGTGCAACAGATTTGCATGACCAACTTGAACCCGATGCGAAATCTGCATGGGGAAATTTTTCGCCCTCCCACAAAATTCCTGATCATGCAGATTCCTATTGAAATTGCACGATTTTGACCATGAAAATTCACCAAACAACCGTAAATGCGAACGCAACTTTACACTATTATCAGCTCTCCCCTGGTTCCAATCCACTTGTATGGAGAAAAAAGGCTTCCATATGCTTATATTCTTCATATTCTTAATCTGATGCCTTCCCACACAAATATTCACAAACTATACTGATATCCAACAGGTTCACTCCTAATAAAGCTGTTTTCACATGATATCTCTCAACCCTCAACATGAGAGGTATTTTGGGGCCATGTGGATGGAGTGTGTGAGGCGTGTGTCTTCAGACATGCATTTGTCCATGTGTGCATGTGAGACCCTTCATATGCTCCGACACTCTCTATAAAACGTGAGGTTCTCCATGCCCATATCCATGACCTCCACCCTTCCCCTTATTAGACAATGCAGATGGTGTCCTTAAAGCCCAGAAGCCCAGAGGGTCACATGGCAGCTGCTCACCCCACTCCCCACTAAAAATACAGGCCAGCTCCCTGCTCAAAGGCCTGTTTTGCCAAGGCGCCTGTGCCTCTAAAGGACCACATTGAAAGCATATCTGCAGACTGGCAAAGGATTAAAGCCGCTGGTCCACAGAAGGCCTCGGTTTCTAAATAAATATTAAACACTTCAACTTTTGGGTGGCCAGGAGCACAGATGCATGGCTATTTGATCAGACCGAATTCTCTGCCGTCATCCGCTAACATATAACCACAATACTGTGAAAGCAAGTGCATGACATCTGAAAGTTGACCCAGTAATAAACTAAAATGGGCCTCGTTTCATGCATTCATGGACCTAAGCCAGTGGGTCATATGGGGGTGACACAGTCTCCACATGATCAGTGTCGTTGTTGTTAACTCAAACTATTAAAATAGTTTTCACTAACTGAAATAAAGCTCAAAAAACAACAAATAAAATATAAATATTACAACATTAGCAAAATTGGCTTGGCAAATAACCGAATTAAAAATAAGTTTTAGTTGAAGTACTAAATTTACTAAAAGCACATAAAATACATAGTAAAACTTTAAATTAAAATGAAAACTGAAAATATAAAAATAAACATTAATTCAAAATATTAAAAAAATACTATAATAGTATAAAAATAATACTAAAACAACACTGATGCATTTTTCGTTTGTGGGTTCATGTGGTTAACACAATGATTTATAGTTCAAGTGGAATAATTATTTGTGTTACAATAACAAAGAATGAGAAACTGCAACTCTAAAACTAAAATGGAGGAGGACTGTACCAGAGACAGTGCACACCAACCACCTGCAGGGAACTAAATAGGTAAAATAGTCCCACTCAATATGGCGGCTGTAGGAATGGAAGCCCGGCCTTTCGGTTTAAAGAGCCAATCACATGATGTAATTGGACCATCCTGAAAAATACAGCATTTTAGCATTATTTGAGATCAAGAAACAAAAATGTAAAACTTAACACCAATAGTTTTCGATCTTGCCCCATTCAAGTGTATAGGAGGGTGAGCGTGATTTCACCAAGTACATGTTCCTGGATCAACATCCTTGTTGATCCTGGAACAACATTCCAATCAACCAATCAGAATTGAGAGATAACTTTTCAGGAAATATCTGTTTTAGGCTTACAATTAGGGTTCGGTGCTTCTACACCCTTGTTAATCAGCTATCATTTCCCACTGATTTTAGGAATAATTTATGGGTAGGGTTAGGGATTGGGTTAAGTCTATATTTTTGGACAATAATGTTGATCCAGGATCGTCAAAAGATGTTGATCCAGGAACATGTCTTACTTGGCAAAATCACGGCGTAGGAGCTATACTTGTATCACCAAGATGGCCACCAAGTGGACTGACATGCCTTAAAGAGATTGATTATACCTGCATCTTGTTATTTAGGGAGGCTCTGATGATCATTCAGTGGAATATCCGGGCATTCAACATTGTGAAGAACTGGCCATGGATGAAACTCTTCTTCAAAATCAAGCCCCTGCTGAGGAGCGCGGCCACGGAAAAAGAGCTGGCCGCTCTAAAAGAGGAGTTCCTGAAGCTAAAGGAGGCACTAGAGAAATCAGAGTCCAAGCGTAAGGAACTGGAAGAGAAACAGGTCAGCCTGATCCAACAGAAGAATGACCTTTCCCTGCAGCTTCAGGCAGTGAGTATCAATGGCAAATGTACTGTTTGCTCATAAAGGCCACAAAAAAGCTATGGTGGCCACAGAACTACTCATTATTGAATTTTCACATTTTATTGTATTACAGCAGGACATTTTGTTATTCCTCACCAAAAGTACAAAGTTTTCTGCAATGGCATAGCAAAAAGACTAAAGTGCAGGAGAAATTTATACAAAAAATAAATAAAAAAAATGGCTGAATGCATAAAAGTATAAAATTACCATTCTTCTCCAAGTCACTAATTTTGACATGATCTAGGATATAAATGATCTTTTTAGGTTTAAGGGAAAGAAATTGCTGAAATGGATCTACAATTTTTAATGCCAATTTTTAAGGGTTTTAATGTAATTACCCAATAAATTGTGAAATTAAAATAAAAATACAAATTAATTCTATATATTCAAATGTTAAAATGCTTGAATTTACTTTCTAACCGCTGCTCTACAGGAGCAGGATAACCTGGCAGATGCAGAGGACCGTTGTGACCTGCTCATCAAGACCAAGATTCAACTTGAAGCCAAAGTGAAGGAGATGACCGAACGCCTGGAAGACGAAGAGGAGATGAATGCTACCGTTCTTGCAAAAAAACGCAAGCTGGAGGATGAGTGCGCTGAGCTGAAAAAGGACATTGATGATCTGGAGATAACCTTGGCCAAGGAGGAGAAGGAGAAGCATGCCACTGAAAACAAGGTTAGAAAAGAAAAATGAAGCTCAAGCTTTGTTGTTGAGCCACCGTGAAGTCTGTTAAACTAATTAAAGTCCCTTTTCATAGGTGAAAAATCTGATAGAAGAGATGGCAGCTTTGGATGAAACTATTCTGAAGCTCACTAAAGAGAAGAAGGCCTTACAGGAGAGTCACCAGCAGACGTTGGATGACTTGCAGACAGAGGAAGACAAAGTCAACACTCTGACTAAGGCCAAAGCCAAGCTGGAGCAGCAAGTAGATGATGTAAGTTGAATAAATGTTAACTGGACCAAACAGATCAAGAATAAATCAGAAATCAATACACTATAATCCCATGTTTTAGTTGGAGGGGTCCTTGGAACAGGAGAAGAAATTGCGAATGGACCTGGAACGGGCCAAACGCAAGCTGGAGGGCGATCTGAAGCTGGCCATGGAGTCTGTCATGGACCTTGAAAATGACAAGCAGCAATTAGAGGAAAAGCTAAAGAAGTAAGAAATTATCACATGACAGGATGCTGTAAAATATATAAATTCTGTTCTTAAATTGTCTGTTGTTTTTTTTTTGTAGGAAAGATTTTGAAATGAACCAGATCAGTTCGAAAATCGAAGATGAGCAAGCGCTAATCATCCAGCTTCAAAAGAAGATCAAGGAATTGCAGGCGAGTTAAACTGGACCGTTTGATCTCCAAGTTTATGTCTCTATCAGAACATATTTTCATTCATTCTTTCATTGTGTTTAAGGCTCGTATTGAGGAGCTCGAAGAGGAACTGGAAGCAGAGCGTTCCACCCGAGCGAAGATGGAGAAACAGCGATGCGATGCATCCAAAGAGCTTGAAGAGCTCAGCGAGCGTCTCGAGGAAGCCGGAGGTACCACTTCAGCCCAAACTGAGATGAATAAGAAACGGGAGGCAGATTTTCTAAAACTGCGTCGTGACCTTGAGGAGGCCATATTGCACCACGAGGCTATGACTGCCGCACTGCGCAAAAAGCATGCAGACAGTGTGGCTGAACTGAGTGAGCAAATTGACAGCCTTCAGCGGGTCAAACAGAAGTTGGAGAAGGAGAGAAGTGAAGCCAAGATGGAGGCAGATGACCTCACCTCCAATTTAGAGCAGCTGGCAAAGAGCAAGGTGGAAAATATGATCATGTCGCACCACATTCTGATCTAATTTAACAAGCATTAATTTAGCGTTGACTTTAACACTGAAAAATCAAGGGCTGATTTCAGTTGAGATCAGGTTTAAATCTTTATAGTTGATAGGTGAAGTTAGCATGCTCTTAGTTTGTATATTATTATATTTTATTTATCAATGCTTTTATTAATGTATCTTAATGTTAATTTTTAAATATACTCCAACATTTTTGCAATTCAAGTTGTACAAACTAACATCAGTGAATCTATTATGAACAAACATGAATGAACAAAAAGCAATAGTATATCTATGAATTAACATAAGCCTTTTTACCCATTTCAGACTGAACTTTAGGCACAGTCATAAAAAAGATATCCTGACACTATATTCCATACACACCACTGTGCATCGTAAAATAACCAGACAGCCTTAATAAAATTCACTGAATTGAATCAATCAGCAGTTACTGAATCAAAATTCCATTCACTTACTTAACTGCAAGTTATATTATCAGTGAAAACATGAAAAACGTTTTGTCTCAAAACAACATGGCTTTCCATAAAATGTGTTGGTAAAGATACACAAATTGTTATTATTATTTTTTGTCATTTCATAAAGGAATATTCATATATATATGGTAGGAAACACATAATGTAATTATTTTTGATTTGCTACACATACACACACATATAATTTTATTAATTATATGAAAATATTACAGGCTGCCATTGAGAAAACGTGTCGCGTCTATGAGGACCAGATGAATGAGTCAAAAGCCAGAGTGGAGGAGCTCCAAAGGCAGCTCAGTGACACCAACACACAGCGAGCCCGGGCTCAGGCTGAGAGCGGTATACAAACAAACTATCTACTAAACAAATTCAAACTTAACATGAACGACTGAGACATTTATGCATTAGTTTGAGACATCTAATTTCCTTAATAACCGTTAGACATTTTAACATAATTTTTCCATACTACAGCTGAACTGGGCAGAAAGCTGGAGGAGCGTGAAGCTCTGGTGTCTCAACTGCAGCGCATCAAGAACTCCCTCAGCCAAAACACTGAGGAGCTCAAGAAACAGCTAGATGAAGAAACCAAAGTAAGAAAACAATTTTCCTCACTGCTCAACATATTTTGGCTTTTGTGTGGAACAAATTTGTACTTTTGATTTGTCTTTTGCTCCTTTCAGTCAAAGAATGCCTTGGCTCATGCCCTGCAATCATCCAGGCATGACTGTGATCTGCTGAGGGAGCAGTATGATGAAGAGCAAGAGGGCAAATCTGAGCTGCAGCGTGCACTGTCCAAGGCCAATGCTGAAGTCGCCCAATGGAGGGCCAAGTATGAGACAGACGCCATACAGAAGACAGAGGAACTCGAGGAAGCAAAGTGAGTGTGTGGACTAGACATCATGCCTGGCTTCATTCTAAATCCGAATCATAAAATTTCACACATTTGACAGGAAGAAGTTGGCCGCCCGCCTCCAAGAGGCTGAGGAACAAGTCGAGGCGTCAAACGCAAAGTGCTCCTCCCTAGAAAAGACCAAACATCGGCTGCAGTCAGAGATTGAGGATCTCGTAGTAGATCTGGAGCGCTCTAATGCAGCCGTCGCTGCCCTGGATAAGAAGCAGAGGCAATTTGACAAGATTTTGGCCGAATGGAGGCAGAAGTATGAGGAGTGTCAGTCTGAGCTGGAGTCCTCACAGAAAGAGTCTCGTAATCTGAGCACAGAGCTGTTTAAACTCAAGAACTCTTATGAGGAGGCTCTGGACCATCTGGAGAGCATCAAACGGGAGAATAAAAATCTACAGGGTATATGTTTTGAACTTTATGGATTTTGAATAGAGAAAAAAACTCTAATATCATAATAACATATATCGTCAGTCACAAAATGTGACTTATCAACACCTTTCATGTTTCTAACAGAGGAGATTTCTGACCTGAGTGACCAAATAAGCCAGGGCAGCAAGACCATTCATGAGCTTGAGAAGATCAAGAAAGGTTTAGATCTGGAGAAGACTGAAACTCAAGCTGCTCTGCAGGAAGCTGAAGTATGAATTTTCTTTGTGTCTAAAACCAGAAATGAAAACCTGAGTCACATTTACATTACGCCAAAAGATATACTTGCGTATTGACTTAAATGTGTTATTAATGTCAAAAGGAGAAATATTTTCCATGATTATTACTGTGACATTTAAAAAAAATAGAGTGGTACATTTCCTGTTGGGTCTTTTTTAGGTAAGGTTACATAGTGTATGTATTAAAGAAAAAAAATGGTTTGATTCAAGTAAAACCTCAAATACTTTCTTTTAGATAATGAATTAATGATAAATTAGATCCCTGGAAATAATAAATGTGTATCTTTTTGTTTGGTCATTTAGTGTTTTTTCCCTGGAAATAGTACATGAAAAAATAAATGAAATTAATTTTCCTGCAAAAAGGTTTATAAAACTAGCCCAAAGTATTGAGAATATCACACCAAAACAGATGAAAAGATACTACTCATACCTTTTTTTGTGTCAGGGAACTCTGGAGCATGAGGAGAGTAAGACTCTACGTATACAGCTGGAGCTCAATCAGATCAAAGCAGACATTGACAGGAAGCTGGCTGAGAAAGATGAGGAAATCGACAATCTCCGGTCAGTTCTACTTAATGAGAGAATCATGACTACTGATGAAGACTGATTATTGAACCATTATTTTCCATTACTCCATTTCATTATACAACCATATAATACAAGACTTCCTAACTTATTTACCAACCTTTAACTTCTCTAGCCGTAACCATCAGCGTACCATAGAGTCCATGCAAGCCACCCTGGATGCAGAAGCAAAATCCCGCAATGAAGCCATCAGGGTGAAGAAGAAGATGGAGGGCGACCTGAATGAAATGGAGGTTCAGCTGAACCATGCAAATCGCTTGGCCTTGGAGTCCCAAAAAATGGTCCGCAACCTGCAGACACAGACTAAGGTAAATCCAAATGTTACTTTTATTATAACAAGCATATTTCAAGTATTGCATCACAATTGTGGGAAATAAAAAACAGGTTTGGAGAATTTTCATATTACGATGTACACAAAATTACCTGAGCAATGAGTCACCAACTCAAACTAACTTATAAATTATAAAGGATCTTCAGATAGAGCTGGATGAGACCACTCACCAGAATGAAGAACTGAAAGAACAGGTTGCAGTTACTGACCGCAGGAACAACCTCCTGACTGCTGAGATGGAAGAACTGAGAAGCCAACTGGAGCAGTGTGACCGTGCCCGCAAACTGGCCGAGTATGAGCTCCTGGAAACCACGGAGAGGGTCAACCTACTGCATTCCCAGGTAATGGCCAGATGTTCCATGATCAAACTTTGCAGAAGGCAGCTCTTCCGAGCATTGATGACAAATAATACACTGTAATTTTCCATAATTCTTTCTTCCCCTCCAGAACACATCACTGCTCAATCAAAAGAAAAAGCTGGAGAGTGATATCTCCACGTTGTCTAGTGAGGTGGATGATGCAGTGCAGGAGTGCCGAAATGCAGAAGAAAAAGCCAAAAAGGCAATCACTGATGTGAGTTTCTTGCATAGAGAGGATGTTTTTTGCTAAATGCTGTGTATAGGAAATCTAATATGATACTTTCAACATGCAGGCTGCCATGATGGCAGAGGAGCTGAAGAAAGAGCAGGACACCAGCGCTCACCTGGAACGTATGAAGAAGAACATGGAGCAGACCATCAAAGATCTGCAGATGCGTCTGGATGAGGCTGAGCAGATCGCTCTAAAAGGAGGCAAGAAGCAAATCCAGAAACTGGAAAGCAGGGTATGCAGGATGACTTTTGTAATATATATAACATAAGTAAATAAAATAATGCTGCTTGAAAAACCTGACTGAATTTGGCGATGCCAAAAATCCTCAATTGCATTTTGCCCGTGTCGATTAACCGGCAAAATACCGGAAGTGGCGCCTTCCACGGATTAGAATCAGTGAAAAGCATTATTAGACCATTTTGTAAGGCTGCACGAAATATTAAAACCATTTATAAATCATAATAAAAAGCACAATGCTATTGATAATTCACTGTGATTCAGTTAAATAAATATATGCGCTGCGAGTTTAGTAGGTTACGGCTCTGTTCACAATAAATGCTGCTCCACACAAACAGTTATTATTTACATGCGCCGACCGTCTCAAACTCCATCTTTGCATATGCTTTGAATCTGAGTTGCTTATAACATCTGGGAACAATGTGCACCGTTCTATCAGATTTATAAGGGAAATCATTTATAAACCTATGCCAACACAGGAGAATACATCATTATCTTTCTAAATATGCTAACTGTTCATCGCGACTTCAAAATAAAAGTTTAAACCCTCGCTCAGAGTTTGCATGTTTTGAAGTCCACATGTTCTTGTTAAAAAAAAAATGACAGTGGATGTAGCATTTCTATCATAAAGAAGTAGCCAAATATTAAAGATCTAGTGGATATTTGAAATTAATGTTTTTAGTCAATATTAAACAAGGATTAGATCGCGCTATAAAGTGTAAAAACAATCGTCAGGCCGTTGATGCCCTCAGTCCCTGTTGAAAAAACCAGCATATGCTGGTTAGGTATGTTTTGAAGCTGGGATGCTGGTTTGAGCTGGTTTAAGTTGGTCCTTTGCTGGTTTATGCTGGTCCTTGCATATGCTGGGTTTTTCAACAGGGTAGGCATTTGATATAATACATAAGGTACATAAGTTATGATTACAGTGGGTATAGAAAATAATCACCCCCTTTAAAATAATCAAATTTTGTTGCTTTGCAGCCTGAAATGAAGACGGACACAGTTTTTGTTTTATCCAGCTGTATTTACTCAATGCAACTTATAACATCCAGCTGAAAGATATAAAACCATATGATTACTTGCATTTGATATTTTATTTGAACAAATTATTACTGATATTGCTATCTGTATTTTAAGTCATTTTAAAGTCTATTGTTTGCTTAGGTCTATTTTAAAACCACAAAAAAAAAAAAAAAAGATTTAAAAAAAAAAAATCCGTTATCCGACCGATTACTCGATTACCAAAATAATCATTAGTGACAGCCGTAAAGTGAACTTTTAACTTTGCTTTTCTTAAGGTGAGAGACCTGGAAAACGAGCTGGAATCTGAGCAGAAAAAAAGCAATGAATTCCAGAAGGGAGTTCGCAAATTTGAGCGAAGGATCAAGGAGCTCACCTACCAGGTAAAAAGTCCATCAGAGAGATGCACAAATAGTTTAGATTGTACTTTGAGGTTGCTTCAATAGCTCGAGCTGCACTATTCTGGAAGAATGAAGCCTGTGGCACCACCTGCTGTTTCTGCAGACTGAGGAGGACAGGAAGAACATGGCTCGCCTACAGGAGCTCATAGACAAGCTGCAGGCCAAAGTTAAGACCTACAAGAGACAAGCAGAGGAGGCGGTGAGTTTACAAATAAACCTTAACGTGCTACACCTCATGTATACTTAACATCACTGATGGTTCCTGCATATTATATTGTAGGAGGAACAAGCTAATACCAACTTGACCAAGTACAAGAAGATTCAGCATGAGCTGGATGATGCTGAGGAACGAGCCGAGATTGCGGAGTCTCAAGTGAATAAACTACGTACCCGGACCAGAGACCCGGGTAGCAAGGCTAGTCCTAAGGCATGTAGCTTAAGTCTTGAATATTGCATTTAAACTCCTTGGACTACATTCATTTTTTGTATTTTACATTAACACTATAATGACTAAACTTATTAATCAGCTTTGTGTTTACCCATTTTAGCTTGCAGAGTGAAGAGGAAAGCCCTCTCATATATGATCACAGCCCACAGCTGCAAGTTTTGTGTGACAGTGAAATAAACGTATGCCTAAAGCTATGAGTAAGATTTTAAAAAATTACTCTTTTATATTTATTTAGACCATTTAAATCTGTATTTCATATTGTCTTTATTTTAGGACTGTCAAATCAATTAATCATGATTAATCACATCCACAATAAAAGTTTGTGTTTACATAATATACGTGTACTGTATATATTTATATATAATCACACACGTATATAAGATGAAAGAGTTACGTGTATATATATATATATACATATATGATTTATATTCTAAATAAATATTACATATATTTCTTAAATATATACATGTATGTGTGTGTATTTATATATACATATAAATACACACATATATTTTGAAATAGATAGATAGATAGACCTAACTTGTTTATCATATTGAAAATCTTATACCATATTGATATAAAAATGAAATGAAAAAGAAAATCTATTACATTTCTTGTTATTAACATAATGATGTGCACTAAACAATACATTACGTCAAGGTTTCCCAAACTGGGGCTTGTGAATGAACTGCAGGGGTTTCGCGAGTTTAATGAAAAGCTAATAATTAAATCATAAAAATGTCAAATTAAAATAAATATTTTTAAAATAACAATCAAAATAAAACACAAAAAAATTAAGATAATTTGTTTAGCCGCATGTCATGTGACCATTAACCAACGTCATATCAACCAATGTATTACTTATTAACTTATTACCTTAAAATCTCAGGGGGGACTTCAAATAAATATATTAGGTGAAAGAGATTCAGCTGACAAAAAAAAAGTTTGGGAATGCCTGCATTACATGTCAATAAGAAATAACGTGAATTTGTGCATTTGAATGTGTTTGAAAGACAAAAGCTTTCCAAAGACAGTAATACATGGTTAAAAAAAAACACTGAGTGATAATTCAAATAAAAATTCATGTGTTCATCAGTAGTTGATGCAATGATGAAATGTTGAGAAAACACTTCTTAAAATTAAAATGATTTTTGTTAAATCCTGTGTGGCAAAATGCTGTGTGGCTTCTCAATTATCTGTGTAATAACAGCCACCTGACCAGTGACTGGTCTTTGTGTGAATGTCCACAAAACTGGAAGACTTTCTGAATGTATAAGCGGTAGGCAATTTTAGAAAGGAACATTTAAGATGAAAAAGAGGAATTGTAAATAATTGTGATTGTGTAAATAATATGTGATCATGTAATCCTTAAAGTAACTGTAGTCTGATAACGAGTATTTTAAAATGTAATTTAATCTAATTACAAGTACTTAATTTTTGTAATCTGATTGTGTAATCCAGATTACATGTAATCAGTTACTACCCAGTTCTATAAGTGTATGTGTGTTTGTTGTATATGAACCATTTTCTTGCACATTTTATACTTGTACTCACATTGAAAGATATATATATATTTTATTTTGAATTGTGCAGTTATATAGAGGCAAACTATGATTTCCACAAGACAACTGAAGCCAATGATTTTGAAAAACATAAAAGAGTAATCACCATCAAACTTTAACTTTCAGAGGCAAGATACCGAATTGTGGTTTATTTAAAGCATTAAGTTTACTGGGCTTCACATGGTTATCACTTATGACTAAATCCATCCAGACAGAGCTACGTAAGAAAATTGTAGGTATTTAAAACCCAACCTATGCGACACATGAACCAAGGCCTGTGGATAAAGAAGAGACATTCAGATCCTTTGCGTTGATGTAGCAATCATTCAATTTAGAAAAAGCACACATTCACACTACTGCTAATATTACAACTATACACATTCCTGGGGTCAAAGGAAGTGAGCAAAAATCTCTGCAGCATTCATTATACCTCTTTATATGAATTGTATGAAATTGTTTTGCCAACGCAAAGCACTGTGACACAGTATAAGGAGCCGATATATAGAACATGAAAGAACTTGCGAACATCCACAGGTAAAAGCCAAGCAACTCTCGTGAAACACATTTAGTCATTTATACAGAGGAACTTTTGCATATAGTGTGAACTCAGGTGCAACAGAATAAAAGCTGCAGCATGCTTAAACTATAGGAGTGGGTTTGAAAACAACAGCAATGAAACGAGGTAGTTGATTGGAAGTTTCTAGTCTAGCTCAGCTACCACATCCAGCACATAGCGACCGCAGCAGAGCAGCACCTTTGCAGGTTCCCGGCCGCCAAAAGTCGGAGCCTTGTGTTTGAGCGCAACACAGATTGTCAATGGCTGAGGCCTGTACAGTTAGAAGATGGTGATTTAGTGGTCTGCTACGGAACAAATGACAGATGGCAGCATGGAGGTCAAGGCTAGCTGGATATTTATGACCATGGTGTGAGTGAACCTGCATAGTTTAACACCTTCCGTGCCCACAAGATATGAAGTGTTTCATTGTGAGAAATAAAACAAAAGTGGCTATACTATTATTAAAAACTAATTAATACAAAAAATGTAAAATACACGAACTCAAAATCTCTTATTTCATATGTGCTTGATAAAACCTAACAAAAGGAGAGAAGCAATAGAGAATATGAAAAGAAAACAGGTTTATGATGTAGTAAGAGAGCAAAATTACAGAGAAATACGAGAAAATAAATAAGACCCGTCCAAATTCATCTACACTATACAAAGATTGTGACATCAATCAGTTAAGCATGAGGGTCGCTCACCATCTGACAAGCTTGGCAAAGTATCATCCAAGCCACCATTCATCAATCCAACGCTTTCTGAACCTAAATTACAGAGAAAATCTCCTTAAACGCCGACTGTGCAGTTCTTAGATCACCAGATCATCGATCGCCCTCATTCGAGGATCTTTCCAAATTCAAGTAGGACATTTAGTCTAAATATTTTCATCTTTGTATATTTCTCTAAAAAAAGGCCCCAAACGATTTCACCGAAACACAACGAGATAGTTTCAGGTCAGAGGGTCAGCTCCGGATTGAGCTGTCCAGGTAATGTGTTCCCTCTCAATGAATGATGGGATGGGCAATCCTTCGCGGGACGTCCTTTTCACCCGCGCAAGCCTGGAGATGAAAAAGTGGAACATGGGCACCAAGTAGAGAATGGGCAGCTCACAGAGCCGTAGCATGCAGTCGGATGAGCTGGTAGGCTGTTCCGAATCGGAACGGAACATGCAAGTCCCTCCCCAAGCCAACCCGCACGAGTCAATCGCCTAGACGGTCCCGGTCTAGCTCCATGTAAGGCTCATCTATATAGCTGATAATGGCACAGGGAGAAGTCCTGTCCTCTCCGAGCAGTACTGACACGGTCTCCTTCCAAAAACTGAATGGAATACAGGAGCTCTGAAAGAAAGAGATCATAGATAGCTAAATATTATCCTAAAGCAGGGTCTCCCAAACTGAAACTGGAGTTGGTAAGGCAACTGCAGGGGGTTTGTGGGTTGATGAAAAGCGAATAATTACATTGGATAAAAATTCAAATAAATAAATGTCGCTGCATTATTAAATCAAAATATAACTGAAATCACAATATAGCACAGTGCAATTATCAAATTAAATGCAGTTTGAAATCGAAGAATTTAAAGATAAATAGTAACTTGCAGTGTAAAATACAATTATTTTAATTATTAAACATTTATTTTACAGGATAATTACAATTTAATTTACAAGATAAATATTTAATCTTCACTTTTTAGAGTTATAATAATAATAATAATAATATAATATAATATGAGGTAAATTTAAGACTCTGTTCATCTTCAGAACAAAAATGAAGATATTTTTAATGAAATCTAAGAGATTTCTGTCCCTCCATTGACAGTCTATGCAACTACCTCTCTGATGCTTCAAAATGTTCATAAAGAGATTGTAAAACTAATGAATGAATGCAAGTCTTACGGGTTTGGAATGACTTGAGGGTGAGACAAATGACAGCATTTTCATTTTTGGGTGAATTATCCCTTTAAGACTTTCTGCTTCAATTCAAGACCTTTTAAGGCCTTCATATGTGGAAGGCCAAAAACCTTTTTAAGACCCACAGAATGTCCTACATATAAATAATTAAAAACAAAAAATCTAAATTAAACATCCAAAAAATATATATATTTTATCTGTTTACTTTTGGCATATGACCATAAACCAAAAGAATCATCAACATGCAAAATGTGTCGTTAAAAATTCTGAAATATTTATTTAAAAAGGAGGTACTTCAGGTAATTTTTTTTGTTTGTTTGGGAAACCTTGTCCTAAAGGAAGGATTCCATACAGTGAAATCTAACTCACATTCTCCAGGCAGGTGCTGTCCTTGTCCTTGTTGAGGTAGTGGTGCTGCCAAAAGTGCAGCAAGTTGTTGAAGTTGTTAAGCAGGCAGCCGGGATATTTCTCTGCATATTCCTTTTCCCGCAGGGCATTCAGGTAAAAGGGGAGCTTGCCTCTCCTCCGGGCCAACATCAGAATCACCAGGCTGGTGTTAAGACAACTCACATTCTCCTGGGACAGCAACCAGAGAAACATAGGACTAATTATAATGGAGGATTCAAATGAGACAAACAGGGAGAGGAGACCTGCACTGTGATCTTGCCTGTGTGAGGGTTTGCACGTTGATGATGTTAACCAGCCTAAAAAGGAAGGACAGTCTGTTCTCCACTCGAGCCATGTAGGACAGCAGACAGCACTCAGAGAGCACTTCAACCACTGCAGAGGCACAAACACAGGCTAAAATAGACACTGCAATTTTTTAAACACCAATCGGACTACATGCTTTTCAGAGATCTATGTCTAATGCTCTGAACAGACATCCAATGAAGCAATTCACAAGTTCTGTGAAAGATTTTTCAAATCTCAAGTTACCTGGGAAAATATTTTAATTTTCCCATCAGATTTTTCTCAGAGACATCAACATCTTTTAAGGTGATGATACACGGCATTGTTGCCGAGCGAAGTTGCTTGGGCACTTTCCCATTGAGAATGGGCAACAAATTTTTATCTGGATACTTCAGATCCGTCATGGATCCTGTGTCTCACCTGGTTGCCCGTTGACAGCAACACTGCCCAGCAACATTGCTCAAAAAGTTCCCCCGTGTATCATCAGCCTTACACTAACTATTAAGGCAGGGCG